AGAGAGTCAAGAGCTTCTCCCAGTTTAGTATTGTCAGCAAACTTACTTGTTATTCCTTCCAGTCCTTTTGATCAAGTTGTTTTGAAGATGTAGAAGAGAATTGGTCTGAGGACAGAGCCCTGTGGAACCCCGCTACTGACTGGACAACACTTTGATGTTACTCCATTCACTATAACTCTTTGTGACCAACCTGTGAGCCAGTTGCTAACCCATCACATGATTTTGTCCTGGGAGAAGGATCCTGGAGAGACAGTATCAAAAATCTTTACGGAAATCCCAAAAGATTATATCAGTGAGCTTCCCTTGGTCAACTAGGTGGGTTACGTTGTAATAAAAGGACGTGAAGTTTTTCAAGCAAGTCTTTTCTCTCATGAAGCTGTGCTGGCTGTGACTGATCACTGGATTGCCCTTCAGGTGTTTTTCAATATCTCCCAGAATAATCTTCTCCACAGTTTTACCAGGAACTGAAGTAAGACTGACAGGCCTGTAGTTTCCAGGGTCATCCTTCTTGCCATTCTTTAAAACTGAGACAATGTTAGCCAACTTCCAGTCAACTGGGACCCCTCCAGATTCCAAAGACCATTTAAAAATCATCAAGAAAGGCCACGTGATAACATTAGCCATGTCTTTGAGTATTCTCAGATGAATCCCATCAATCCTCATAGATTTGTTTGGATCCGTTTGGAGCAGCAGATCTTGTGCATGTTCAGAATCAACTGGGAGTTTTTCATTCTCATAGCCATGGTTCTCCAGATCAGGGTGCTGGGACCTCCTTCCACCATCGTTGGAATTGAAGACTGAAGCAAAGAAAGCCTTGTCTCTGTCCCTGTTTGTGAGGTGACCATCCTCATTCTCTAATGGACCAGTGTTATTTCCAACTGCCTTTGGCTGTTAACGTATATTAGAACACTCTTTTTATTGTCCCCCACAATTCTGTCAGCTTCAACTGCAGCTGAGCTTTGGCGCATGCATTTTCCCCCTGCAATGGAAGGCATCATCCCTGTATTCCTCCCGTGTCACCTGACCTTGCTTCCACTGGGCATACACCTTCCTTTTTTGCCTTATGTCCGAAAGAATATCCTTGCTTAGCCAAGCCAACCTTCTGCCTCATCTGCTTGACTTCTGGCAGTTTGGAGTTGCCTGCTCCTGTGCCCTTAGAAGGTGGTAGTTAAAAAATGACCAGCACTGATGGATCCCAGAACCTTCAAAAACATTTTCCTGGGGGACCTTACCTACTGGTTCCCTCAGCAACCTGGAGTCTACTCTCCTCATGTTGAGGTTTTGCTGGCATTTTTCCTCCTGACAGCAGAAGTCTTAAATTCAATCTCTTCATGGTTTCTGTGGCCAAGGTGGCTGCCAATCTCCACTTCTCTCACAAGATCCAATCTGACAAGGAGCAAATCAAGGAGGGCACTTTTCCTTTTCACTTCCCTTAGTAGCTGTACCATGAGGTTATTATCCAGATGTTTTAAGAATCTTCTGGACCTGTTTGTGCCAGCTGTATGATGCTCCCAATTAACATCTGGCGAGTTGAAATCCCCCATAAGGACGAGGGCAGTTGTTTGGGAAGTATCCCAGTTCCTCAAAGAATAATTCATTGGTGTCATTGTCCTATCTGAGAGGTGTATCGCAGACTCTGAGGATGACATCCGCATTATTTGTTTGCCCCTTAATCCTTATCCAGGGGCTCGTAACTGTGCCACTGCCAGCTGTGATCTCCGTACATTCCAACCCCTCCGTTACATACAGTGCCACCCCACTGCCTCACCTGCCCTTCCTGTCCCTCCTAAAGAGCCTGCAACCATCGAACGTGGCACACCAGTCACAGGACTCATCCCACTAGGTTTCACTTGTGCCAGTGATGTCAGATCTCTGGGACTGGGCCAAGTTTTGAACTCCTCTTGTTCTTAGTGCTGTTTGTGTTGGCATAGAAACATTTCAAGTGTGGTTCGTTGGAGCAGATTAGGGATCTTGTTGTCACTTAGTTCCTTGAGTTTTGGTGTGCGATCCCATTGCTTATCACTGGCAAGCCTGTTTGTCCTTTTCCTTCTTCCAATCTAGTTTAAATCTCTATCAATTTTTTTTACTTTCCTCTATAGTTCTTCTGCTAGTAAATGCTTTCCTTAAAATTAGAGAAAAATGTTAGTATGCTGGTACTAGCAGTGATATAGGATTTTGTAATTAAACTGTGAAAGGCGTTGCATGTGATACCTAAGGGAGCAGTTATCGTTGCGTGTTTCATTTAACTTTGTCACTCCTGGCACTGGAATGTTTTATTTAGCAGCTTTGATATTCTCTTTATGAGTTTATTTAGGAGTAAATCTGGAACATGAAAAAGGAGTTAAGTAGATAGTGTTTTAAAGGTGACTTGCACACTTGAATTGTTGTGACAACACCTTGGAATATGTAAACTTGCATATAGTTACAATAGTGCTACTGCTGCAGACTTAGGCATTTGAGAAATGTCTGAATAAGGAAGGTGCTTAAATGAGTTATTCTTTTACTCTGTCTTATATAGTGTCCTAGAGAGTCTTCATTGCTACAGAACAGGGTTCTTGTGTGGCATATAGTCTTTGGTAGTGTTAAACGGAACATTTTCAACTGAGATTCAGAGAGCTGTGTAGACTTGTATCTCTCTAACCTAGGGATGTCCGAAATATTTTTCAGCAGTAGTTGTGAGAGAAATTGTGGTTGAGTGGGTATGTGTGATCTTTGGTAGTGATGTAATCTAAAGAGTTGGCAGTTGTTGCCAGGGCACTTGCAAAAGGAGAACTTTAGTACGGATATGATTAAATGGCTTGATCAAAGTCTTGCAGCCCTGCAAGAATTTTTCTTGTAGCTGGTGTTGCACTGCATGATTAGGTTTTGAATACTGAATCAAGGAGGAAAATATTAAGAGGATTTAAAGGAAAATTTCTCCAGTGTATATATAGGTAAAGTTACTTCACAGGTTTTCTGTAGCAGCATATGTTTCCTTAATGTGTTCTTTTGGGTGATGTGTGAACTTGGAACAATAGCAGCAAAGTTGTTGAATATACCAAGTGTATAAAGGAGCAGACAGATCCTGACTATGTTTTTCTAAATCACCTGTTTATTCACCATGTGTGTAATATTAGTGTTTATCTTCAATGCCTTTAATCTGTTTTCTATATGTCTATTTCTGTATGGATTCTTAGGGAGTTTTCAGTGTTCCGAGTCCTTCAGGTTGATACAACTACACAACATGACTTTATATAAAAAATAGATTGATTATACTGGTGAATTGAAGGATCACTTTGTTTACACGCCTTTATAGTTCCATTAAAACTCATTCAGTTCCTCTCTGTGTGGAATTTTGTTCGTCAGAGGGAATGAAAAACAAACTTTTGAAGCAAACTGGATTTTCTGTTGGAATCTTTGTCTATTAAGCAAGTTTTGTGTGCAGATCATCAATGTGTAAAACATCCATCAGAGTAAAAATGTCTCTTTGAGAGAAGAGTTGTCTGTCTGTCCTCTTCAAATATCACAAATTGCTTATTTAACCTTTAGGCAATAGGTGTCTTTAGGGAATGATTCCTTTGGTACTTGCATTGACTTTGTTGAAGTATTTAGTCACGTATCATAATGTAGGAAAAACATCACTGGAGTTGTGAGTTCAAGTGCCTGAAAGTTTTGCAGTTGTAATGCATGTGGGTGAATTACAACATGTTTGTGTAATGGAGCAGAGAACTGAGCAAACCCTCCTGAGCTGGCAATAACTACTGTAATTCCAGAGCTAGTGGTTTACTAGCTTGGTGAATCCAAGTAGTAAGTTTTACCTTTTGGCTTGGTAGAAGCAGTACTGTCAGAATTATTTAATTCCCTATGGACCCAATAAATACAGTTGACCTTAGGTGCCTCTTCACTGGCTAATTTGTTTTGGGATGGTATTTGTTTTGGGATGGTATTTGTTTTGGGA